AAACAAAAAAAAAAGGAGGAACATTTTCAATAATTTGATATGTACATATATGTATATTACCGTACCCGTTTGATCTCAAATGTTTCTTGTTAAATGTTATTGAGGCAGTATCGGCATTTGGAATAGATAACTTCAGACAAAAAGTCTTTGCTTCAGAGTTTGAAGTGATTGCTTGCACGCGTGCTATTTATCATTAAAAAGCCTTCGACAACGAGATTAAGCATATTGCATCCCTTAGTAATTACAGAGAAAGATCAAGATTTCTCATATGATTGACTTAGCACTAGGATGGAGATCTACTTAAGTACTAAGCGAACAATAGGTGTATTCTAAGCAGATGCTCTGATTGCAAATGAAATTATGACCGGTATATGTTTACATGGCAGTACCTAAATATATAATTTTTTTCTTCTTTTTTTTTTATTCGCTTTAAGACAATATTCGATAATCGCATATATTTCTTGAAAACAAATGGTGTTGCAGTAAATGTTGGTTTGCAAGTTTGCAGTACACTTCAGATTTAATTGTACTCAATATATTCTACAACAATTTTATTACGCGGTTTACACATCATCCACTACTAATGACCCTTCAATAGTGTTCAATATGTTAACGTGTATCGAAGGCGTCATGCTTGTTAATAATGAATTAACAGAAGTTAGGTCTGGGTTAGGTAAGACTTACAGAATTACAATAAACCAAGGATTATTCATTTTATGCGGCACTACATTATTCTCCGGTGCACATTTTATGAGATCCGATTTGCAATCCCACATGTTTGAAAAGAGATTCGACCGTTCAATGTTATATGCAAAGAAAGAGATAAGGATTTGTTACCACTTTATACAGTTAAATAACATTGTAGCCCTTAGACGTCCCATTATAATCATAATGTTAAAACAGAACAATGTTGTTCTTGAGTATTATGTACAATGCTAATTAATGATTTTCTTTAGAAGTTTGAAGGAAAAGTTCAAAAAAATTTTACAACAGTGTGCTGTGTATAACATTTTTGCATTTGTTACAATGTTTTTTTGCTCTTTGTATTTTTTAGGAAACAAGGTTCTGCTTTGTAATTTAAGTAGAGAAATACGAACAGAAGACTAAATTGGTTGTGTAGGTTGATAATTTCTGCTTTTGGTGCTTTATTAATATCAGCTAACAAATATTACTACAAGTGATAAATGACAGGTTAAAAGATTGTGATTTTTATGATCTATTTTATACTTTTATTTGAATAGATATTTGTTTTGTAAAGAAACTTGAAGAATCTATTAGCACAGAATAACCGATTTTCTTAACATTAAGACACTTTTCTTATTTTACAGCTTATAAAGCTGAATGTTTGGTTTTTGTTTGTAAAGGCTTGATTTTATCATTTAATTTGATCAGTTGTGTAGTGACAAATTGATGCAGCGGTAACCGATTGGTTCATCAATGGAGTCTACTTCTGTTATTCTGTTAAAAACAGAATTTCAAAAATCGCAAAAGAAACTTAAATGTGGTTTTGTAAATTAACAGTTACTTAAGGATTTTAATACCAACTATGAGTTTTGGATGCACATACATATGAGAGGAATGGTGATCAGATTTATAAATAAAACAAACAACAATGATAATAAAACTAAATATTATCCTGTGTTGAGATTATTTATTAAGATTTAACAAACATATTGAATAAGAAAAAAATAGATCAACCCTTCTTTCCCATTTTTTTGCCTTTTATTCTTTTCCTAACTCCAATAGATTGTTCCGTATCATCATCTTCATTGTTGTCTGCACCCTTCTTTCTTTTGCCTGATTTTTTATTATCTTCGATATCTTTCATTTCCTGAAATAAAATATAAATGTTTTAAACATGACGTAGCTTTTATTAATATTCAAGTTATATCTCACAAAATCAGATTTACCATTTTTGCGATACGTTGCGCCTCGGCTACCCTCTCTTGAAGTACCATTACTTCTTCTTCTACCGTAGGATATAAAGGTAATTGTTTTGATATCAATTGTTCAATTCTTTGATACAATTCTACGTCGTATTGCGTTACGAATGTAATGGAACGACCGGAACGACCAGCTCGTGCAGTACGACCAACTCTGTGTATATAATCTTTGCTGTGCGTAGGTATATCGAAATTTATTACGATATCTACGTGAGGAATATCAAGACCCCTATAAAAGGCAATAAACATAAATAAATTGTCAATAAATATATTTAATAAGACATATTTACCTGCTGGCAACATCTGTAGAAATAAGTATAGACCGATTTTTTGCTTTAAATTTAGTAAGAGCAGCTATCCTTTTATTTTGCGACATTTGTCCGTGTAATGGAACTGCTGTAAAGCCCAAATTTCGTAAAAGAAGAGCAGTCCTGACTGTATTATTACAAGTTGCACAGAAAATCATAAAACTATTGCCTGCTAGTTCATTTAGTATATGTACTAAATACACGTCCTAAAATATAAGAACTACTTAAAAATGAAAATTTGGGATCCAATTTATAAAGTTTACAAGCTGCGCGTACCTTGAATTTCACTGGTATAAATATATAATATTGTTGTAATTTTTCAACTGTTTGGTATTTTGTTGAAACTTCCACTCTAACTGGATTTTGCAAAGATGCTCGTTGAAGTTTTTGAACCTTCTTTGTCATTGTTGCAGAAAACAACAGTGTCCGCCTTTCTTTGGGTATTACCCTTAGAATTTTGTCTACTTCAACTTCAAAATCCATATTTAAAATACGATCTGCTTCATCCATAACCTTGAATAAATAATATATTACATAATAATAAATATGAAATTATTGTGATTTTTGTATAAACTAATACATAAGCAAAAGGATAATAATTACCAAAAATTTTAATGACCGTAAATTAAAACCCTTAGTGTTTTCCAAATGATCAACCAACCTTCCAGGAGTGGCAATTAAAACATGTGGTTTTTTTGCTAACAGAAGTGCTTGAGACATCATGTCCATTCCTCCCACTATTACCGCACATTTTACACCAATACTTGATCCTAAAATATAATAAAATCATGAAAACTACTACTGATATCTTAACGTACAGAATAGAAAATATTAACAGTGCTTTTGTTACCTAAAGCTTCAAACTGTTCTGATATCTGAAATGCCAATTCTCTAGTAGGTGTTAAAATTAAAGCAAAATATCTTTGTGGATTTTCTAACAATGCTTGCAATATAGGAAGTGCAAAAGCAGCTGTTTTGCCAGATCCAGTTTCTGCCAATCCTATTATATCTTTACCTATAAAATTAACATATAAGATAGAAAAGTCCAACATATATTCTTGGTAAAGCTTGTTTCAATATAATAAAACATGATAATAATTCTGGCCAATAAAATATCCCTGTAAAAAAATATTATGGCTGTAAAGAATTAATACATAAACTTCATTTTTTACCTTGTAGTGCTAATGGAATAGCCTCACATTGAATTTTTGTAGGTGATTTCCATTTTAGATCTTCACATGCTTTACATAATACATCTACAATTCCCTGTAAGTATTATAATTAATATGATATCATTACATTATGTTTAGTACATATTCAATGTCAGTTCAAAATACTTATTAATGACAATCATATTTTTCAAGTTCATAATTATTTATAAGTATTTAATTGATAATAACACTAACAAGAAGGTTTTTGAACTGACAAAATGATATTTACATCTATTTCACTTTTATTCTTAAAATTTCGAAACTATTATTTCCATATATTGGTTTTTATGTACAAGAATCCTAACTTAACCTAATATTTTGTTTTGAATTGAAAACCATTTTAACATTGTATTTGTTTATTGCAAATTGTTATGTACAATATTAAAAATTTATATTTAAGAATGGTACAGTAGTTTTATTATTTTTTAATTTATAAAATTTCCAAAAAAGTAATGAAACAGATTCTTTAGATAGGTTATATTTTTTCCTAACAGATTGTTCAGCTCACCAAATCTTTCCAAGATGCCGCTTCAACATTTTCTTCGTCTTCTTCCTGTGCTGAGTTATTTGCTGAATTACTTTCTTCCATTATTTAATCACTAATATTTACAATAACATAAATTTTTTAATTTAGTTTGCGGTGCAGCCACAAACTCAAATTTCAGGAACGCGTGGTTTATCTAGTAACCATTTAAGTCTCCTTTACCTTCTTATTCTATTGTAACGAATGGTTCTTTAACTGCCCGTCGTCCATGAGAAGAGGACGCTATAATAGGTTTTAAATCTTTAAGTCGGTAAAGCAGTTTGATCTGATCACGGAAACCCATAAGGCATTTGATCTATTCTTATATCTCATCGATGCTTATATTTCGCTGTGTTTAGTAAATTCAGAAATACACAGTGTATTCCACTAGTCAGCCAAGTAATGACGTGGAAGTAAGTAGATACTTGGTGCTCACGTTGTGTAAACGAAACTCTTTTTTCTCATCTTTATAGAAGGTGATTATATTCAACCCCTTTTTTTTTTATCCAAGAGATAGTACTCCAATTAAAGTACATATCAAATATATTTCTGTAAATTCTACTCCTGTACAAAATTTCATTAAACATAAGTGTCATACTTAAGAAATGTTCCCTATAAATGATTATCTGGAAGAGTATCTGAGTACCATACAATTTTTGAAATGCTCTTTAAAATTATCGTCGTAAGCGGCGCTACCGTCTACATCTTGTAATGGCGTTAAAGTTTTCCGTAGTGAGATTTGTGAGGAGTTCGCGTAGAAGAGAACAGTAATTTCATTCGTTTTTTGTTTTCACGCATTGATTGTCCTGCATGAACGGTGACGAGGGGTAGTGATGACCTCGTACACATTTTCGCAGAAGTCATTAAATCCTGTGCCACCGGAGAAGGGCAGTTTTCCTCTCGATCATGAGGGTTTTTGCAAGGAGCCCATGCTCAAGTATATGCGTTGCTTGTTCGAGAATAAGAACGACAATACATTGTGCAGAAGCTTAGCAAAGGAATACCTTGGTTGCCGAATGGATAATGAATTGATGACAAAAGAAGACTGGGTCTCTCTCGGATACGCTGACCAGGTCAAGGAGACATAACAGCAGCAGTTTATTACTAATCAATCCCCTTATCGAAGTTTTTATCGATCGACCAGCATTTACGAACTTTTTGTCGAGTCATTTTTATTTTATTTGGGAAAAAAACGAATCTACAGGTTCTAGAATATATATAAAATTTTCAGATAATAATAATATATGTATATATAATATATATATACATATATATAAATATATATATACGCATATAAGTGCTTATACGAAAATATTGGCCAGCAATGCATTAATGTTTCCAAAGAAGTGAATTTCTTTTAGTATATAGTCATACTGAAGTGACAAATAATAAAGTGCAGTGAAAAAACTTCAAAGCCATCTACTCAGTACTTAAAACTGCCTGTTACATAGAGACAATAGCATGTTTGTCAAATAGATTTAAGAAGATAAATTGTTGTCAAACTTAGAGCTCTGTTACTTATAGTTCTGTGTTGATTCAGCTAATCAAGGTATTTCAAATCAGACGGCCTAATATATTATAAAATACTTTTTGTTGTATTCGGATGGACCAGGCCTATTCCATATTGTTCTTTAGTATTATTAATACCGTAGAAGTGCGGTTCAAACAGTGAAAAAATAAACAGATAACAATTTACTTGAAGAAAAACAATAAAGTTCAATCTATTAAAATGGCGAGCAGCACTAGGAAGAAAGTTCTGCTTGGTTGTACTGGTAGTGTAGCTACGATTAAACTGCCACAGTTAATAGAAAGATTATGGCAAAACAATTTGGAAGTAAGAGTAGTAGTTACAGAGAAAGCAAAGCATTTTTTAAAGGAGGCAGAGTTGCCTCCAGGGATTCAAGTTCTATCAGATACGGTAGAATGGGCTGCATGGCAAGACAGAGGAGATCCGGTGTTGCATATCGATTTAGTTAAGTGGGCTGATTTATTCTTAATCGCTCCGTTAGATGCTAATACACTTGGCAAGATAGCTAGCGGTATATGTGATAATATCCTGACCTGTGTCGCACGTGCCTGGAATCCTTTGAAGCCATTGGTGTTTTGTCCTGCTATGAATACGAAGATGTGGGAACACCCTGTTACTGCACCACAGGTATAACTTGTAATATTACTTTTTCATTTCTTTCGAGTAACAAATATTGAAAATTTGATAAAATCATATATGTATTCTATAGTTAAATAACTGTTATTCTAATTGCTTTATAAGTATTTTACATTGTCAAAATTTCTCGCTACAAGTCAAATGGAATTATAAAAATTATTTAAGAATAAGAGTTTTATACACGTACAAGTAGTAATCCTTAAACATGTTGAAGTCATATTAATGTCTATTTATATTGCAGAGTTTTGAACATTAAAGTTAATGATACATTATTTCTAGCTAAATGGTACATGGAATAACATAAATTCATTAGTTGGATATTTAAAAATATTATCAGAACAACTGAAGTTACAATACATTGTATTACTGAGATTTACCTAAATAATGTAAAATTAAGATTCAGTAAAACAGAAAGTTAACAATTTCTCGTCTGATTATAAAATTTCTTATTTAAATTATTTGAAATGTTTTTGTTTTATAGATAGCTTTACTTAAATCCTGGGGATACAAGGAGGTAACTTGCATTTCTAAAACACTCATGTGTGGTGATACTGGAATGGGCGGAATGGCGGAGGTGGACACTATCGTTCAAACTATAATGAGATTGCTTAATCCTTGGGACCCATACTCGCCACCAGATCTACGTCTTTAGCATGAGAGGAAAGATACAAAATATTCAACGAATCGTTACTATCGTACAGATTAAATGTGAAATATTTTATGGAAGAACTAAGATATAGAGAGTTGATAATGCGTAATTATGGTGAGATTCAAATAGTTTATGCTCACAGTCAAATTCAAGTCCAACGACAAGTTTTAACTTGTGCAATTACGCTTTTCTGAATGCACTGTGGTCGCGGCATTTTGTTGCTCAATTCAAATGTTTTCTCGAATATTTGCACCAAAGGAAGTAGGCAAAACAGAATCTATTCGTCGAAACGGAATTGTAAAAAATTGTAAAAAGGTTCTGTTCACATATCGTTTGAAGTTGAAGGAAACAAAATAATAAAAATGTACGTGTTTTTGTTAAATATATGAGTTAAGCGATATCTTATGGCGTTTCTCTCTTAAACACCATCTACGTGTAATTATAATAAGTTAAGAAACGGAAATTATAATACAATTCATTATAACACTGTGGAACAAATTTTGACCTATGTTAGTTTTTGCAATAGCCACTATATAATTCTTATAGAGTTCCTTACCCTAAATACGAATCCGAAAACCAAATTGCTGGGTCAGGTCCAGTTTTCGAAAAAACTGGGATTTTGTAAAAACGGTCGAATTTGTTAGAAAACCAAGTGTTATGTGAAAACTAAAAATGATAGGCAGTTAAAATTTGTCACAAAAAATAAAGGAGACTTGCCCGATCACGTAGCTATATAAATTTTGAGTTTTGCGTATCATTAAATGTTTGTAAACGGTGATGAAAGTTTAAAAAAAGGTAGATGCGCGTACTTTGTATGCACTTCTGTTACATTTCTACGAAACCGACCTTCTTGACTGATTCGATAGTTTCAGTGTTAATCATCGTAATAATATTACTCGTATATGTGTATTCACATATTAAACAGCAAATTATTTAAAACGGAACAATCGTGAAAAGCTTTCGTGAAAAGTTTTTTCGAAAACTGGACCTGACCCAGCAATTTAGTTTTCGGATTCGTATTTAGGGTAAGGAACTCTATAAGAATTATATAGTGGCTATTGCAAAAACTATCATAGGTCAAAATTTGTTCCACAGTGTACTTAGAGTATAAGTATTTCTATGTAAGTTTCTTTATTCGCCAGGAAAATGAAGTACGTGACAGGCAAGAGAACTCTAAAAGAATCAGCGTAAGTCGTAGTTCATTATTAAAATTCTTTATTAAAATTATTTAAAAATTATCTTATTAAAATTACTTTAATTATACATCATCGGTATAAGGGAAGTGCATTAAAATTTGGTCGCGTGCAGACTGGAGCGCGTACGGTGGTGTGTAATACGTGCTCGCGTTTGCACGCGGCGTTACATAAATATCACAGTTTATAAATATTTGCTAAAATATACTATAAAAAATAACCCAAGGAAATGCGTCGGCGGTGTTAGTGCGCCGCTCGAGGCCATGATCTTCGATTTCCTTGGAAAATTCTCGACATCGTTGGTTTCTAATTCACGTGGGCATCCCATCCAAACCGGTGCCGACAATTTCTGCTTTTCATGGGCGACTTTCATTTTCGAATCGTCGAACTCCCAAAAACCTTTCCCTTTGAAGAAGTACGTTTTGCCTGGAAGAAAAATATATTATAATTTAAATATTAAAAATTATTATTATTTAAATATTATAAAAGAAATGATAATATTATTCTTTTTCTCATTAAGTTCACTTTCATCGTTTTCTAGAAAATTACTCACCATTCTTCCACTGGAACACAGCGTCGATATCGTGCCCAACACCAGCGAACATACTTATGTCCCTTGGATAATCCAGTTCTACAGAATTTACAGATTCGTCGAACCTGCAAATATACAATTTTGCGATGATAATTCTGTTCTTTTTTTCAATTCAAGTTTGAGAAGATTCCGATAGTGTTGTGAAATATTTTGTAAAATACAGTATTCCTTTCTGAGAATACAATTATAAGTATCAAAGGCATAAAATAGGTATATACATATGTTCACAAAATTCAGATAAAGTTTAATCAATGATTCATCGGTAGGTTTCATTTGCAAGTATGAATACACAAATCATGTGTATTATAATAAGGCAAGAAACATGTATAATTCAACCAATTCAGGAACATTAATTATTTTAAACTCTGTTCATCTATTTATGTTAGCTAAGTCTATTTAGTTTGCTATAGTTAATAGAAAATAATATTTTGATTAAATTTATATAAAACAGTAAAATACTTTTTGTATTTTGCAATGTTAATATAACTACCTCCAATACATAGATCCGCTGAAGAAGTAAGTTCTGCCATTATGGCCCCAAATCATAGCGCCATCGATTTTATCTAACAATTCAGGAAGCCCCAGCTCAGTCAATGGTTTTGGATATCCTTCTTCTAAATTGTTGGCGTTGAAAACGTAATACTTTTTCCCGATGAAAAAGACTATCTTCTTGTCCGGATTTTCATACACCGCATCCACGTGGTCGATATCTTCAGGTAAATTGAACAAACGCGTGATTTCTGCTGGGTAACCCGCGTACAATCCTTGATCGCCGATTCTCCAAAGGTACTGGAAGAATAGAAAGTTCACGTGAAAAGACCTACGACGTGGCAGCGAGAATTTTTCTCGTTAAATATAATATATTTTACATATTTAACAGATGTTAAAATTGTAGATACCAGTTACAATTTATTGCCATAAATCATGATTCGTTTACCATCGATTAGAACACACCTGCTCAATTCAGAAATCATATACAATTACATATATTTCACTAAAAAAGGAATTCTATTGTATACAATTTGCTAAAAAGCACGTTATCTAGTTTCATAAAATATAAATAAAATTCTACAGTTTATCGTTAACGAATATCTAAATAAAGGATAAACCGATCAAACCGATATTTATAAATACTCGAGTGAGTAATCGTAATTCCAATTTCCGTTAACCAGTCCCCAAAAATTTGAATTCCTGCAAGGGTCCACAGATCATTTGTCCGAGTTCGTCGAAAACGAATTCCTCGAAGTTTCTCGAAACCCACCCTGCCCTTAAACACGAAGATCTCCCTGCGAATGATGCTGATGGCGTCGTAGCTGGTGTCACATTTGTCCGGCACGTCGTTCCTCGGCGTCGGTGTCCACCGATGCCTTGGCCTTTGGGTGTTCATTGTGGTCCTCGCTGTCGTCGTCGTGGTGGTGGTTGTGGTCGTGGTAGTGGTGGTCGTTGTTGTGTGATGCCTGTGAGGTTTGTGAGGTCTCTGAGGTCGATCCACCTCTGGCCTTTCTGTTCTATAATCCGGCTTTTGGGGGTAGCGATCGGGGCGGTGAGGTCGGTCGTCGCCCGGATAGTGATTCGGCCTTGTCGGTCTTGTTCGCCACGGTCTGTAGGTCGTCCCAACGCTTGTCGTTGTTGTCCTAGGCGGCAGACCACCCGGCAGGTTCCCCCAGAGCTTCTCGGGAGCACCTAGAACATGATCATCACAGGTTCTTCATTAATCCTCTGTGAACAGAAAATTGAGCCGCGGTGACTGGACCCTGGTCTTTCTTTGGGCATGGACGCGATCTATTCGAATCAAATGCGTGGAAAATGATTATTTGAATAAAATATTAATTTGACTTTCGCCTGTCGCAGTTTCCAATGAAATTTCAAGACAAACGTCACGTTAAATTAAATTTCATTGAACCTATCCGTTGCGTATTTTTCTTCGAAAAATATTGTCTTTTAGTTTATCTATTTGCGGTATTTATTGGTACATTATAACATAAACGTCATGTTATAAAGTGAAACAAGATTTTCTCGCTCAGCTGATGTTTGACAGTGTTCATCCTGAGCCTTAATCCACTTAACAGGTGGACTTTGATATTTTTAATATTTAGCTGGGGCGCCGACATTGTTTTTTCGAATATTTTTCGTTCATAATAATATAGCAGTGGAGTATTCAATACCTTTATTGAATTTTAAGAATCATTTATTATCTTTTTAATATTAAGAAATCACTCCGATCGGAGTGAGCGACAATTAACCTGTTAGCATTACTTGAGAATATCTAAAAACCACTAGAATTACAGTTGCGTATAATACATATAAGAGAATGTTAAACGCTAATCGCACTGGTAAATTGTATACACCTATTCCTATCGAATCTAATCAAATAACTGGCTACAAAAGAAAGGTAAACAAGTTAGACGATCAATGTTTCTTAGTGGAGACAGAAGCAAAAGGAAAGAGAAAAATTGGAAAACCGATTAATCGGACAATATAGGGATCGATGTAAAGTCAGAACGAAAAAGAACGCAGAATTTTTAATGGAATATTACACGAAAATTGGCAAGATACGCAGCGACTGGAATGGAATTGAACACCTCGAATCAGCCTTGACATAGAATCACAATGGTGTGGGGTTGAAAGAGCGCCTCGCAATTCAAGGACGACGATATCGACAATTATCGAGAGCCGTCATTGTAAAACCCCATCGACGGTTAAGGGGTGAGATTAGATTGTACAGTCGGGAACCGTCTAGTTCGCTTTCTCTGTTTATCTGTTCATCTGGTTCGATCTGGTCTCTCTCTATCCATCTCCATCTCCATTTCTCCAACGCTCTACCCTCTACCTCTTTGTCACTCCCTTGTCTTTCTCTTCCGGCCCCAGTCGGTTGCAGATTCCGCTAATTGGTGGGTTCCCAGCGAATATTAATTATCATTCGATTCTGGGACACACAACGTTCTTGAATAATGCAATAATGCAGATAGCTGGGGTTGCGCATGATGTATACTTTGCGCGCCGCGATGTATTATGCATCACGTTTATTGCCAGTGACTTCTCACTTGCGTAATTCCTCTACTCGCGAGTGGACGGAACCGTTCGGGTGAGTGTCTCTTTTGTTTTTCTTTCTTTTTTCCTCGTGGGATTGAGTTTAAATTGCATTGGTATCTTCGAACAATGAAGTTACTTGAGATGTTGGCCGATGGTTCGAAGATCTTTGGAGTCGTAAATAGTAAGTTCCAGTTTGAACTTTCACTTTTTCTCGGGCAGCTGCGACTTCTTGTTTCAGGTACCTATTGGAAATGTCTACTTTCACTTTGTACGAATTTACACTAAGTTTACACTAGATTTATGGATACTTACTGTATAGTTTGTTCTATAAAAAAATTAGAAAAATTGATATTCGTTCATTTAGATGTTGAAAATCAGAGGCTTTAAAGTAGACAAATTAGGATGCATATTTGCGTAACTGCATCGATGAAAATCGACCCAAATATTTACCAAATAATGTTTAGAAAATTCAATATGAGTCAAATTGACTCGTTCGGTAAATCTAGTATCAAGTATTATATTATACAATATCAACTTCGTTTTCAATTGTTATTTCGTGTTTGATATTTCACAATATTTTGCAGACCTTTAGATTTTTTAGAGTTAGAACTCGTTCTCTTGCGTTCCTCGCAGGAACGGCGAACGAAAGAAAAAAAGTTGCAAGGGTCGTTTAGCTCTCTTCAGATTTCTCAATAATTACAGAGTGCAGTTTCTTCGACATGGCTCTCGAGCCATATTCTTTTTTCCAGCGGCGCGAAACGCATTTTTCTGCCGTGGAAAACGGGAAATACGTACGGTGATTCCAGAAGCGGGGCAACGTTTTTTCTCGGTACAATTTGCATCAACGCGACGAGCACGGAGTTTTGCTGTTGGCTAAGAAACTGCTATCACGGTAGTTGGGAAAGAAGAACGATGGAAATTGCATCGTTCAGAAGACAACGCGAAGAAAAGGAAATTTTGCCTAACTGTCCTGATACGAGAACACAGCTCCTGCGAGGCCGTGTCCTGAATAAATACATTACCGATCGAAAGCGTACCCTTACGCTTCGTTTAGGTCCATTCGACCCGAATAAAAAATTTATTTGAAACTAAAGTTACCATTTCTACTAATTTTGTTAACACTGTTCAATTTATTCCTAGTAATTTTGTTAGTGTTTTCTATTGGCTACGATAATTTTGCAATTTAAATGTGAAGTATGCATTCATCGACAAGTAAGTATTTACAGAATACTTACGTTTTTCGTGGATGACGGAGAGAATTGTCTAACTTCTGTACTTTATAGTATATTCACTATTCCGGTATAAAATTAAAATAAACGGGAGATCGCTAACTTTTTGAGGTTGAAGGCAAGGGAAATTGTTAGATGGTATATATTCACGTTATGAAATGTGCACATTACAGGTTAGTCATTAAAAATTTCATGGAAAATAATTTTTAGAATTTATATGGGACAACAGTCTTGATTTTCCCAGATATAAAAATTAATTGTTCGAAAAACGATAAAAACTTCACCGATTATATTATGCAAGGAAGTTGTGTACAGTTTTAGTATTCGTATTGTATTGTACTTTAAAATTGCGAATTTGTAGGATCGAGTTCATGCAAGCCGTCGATTAGTCGACGACTCGTGAGTACGCGGCAAAACGTCGGGCCTGTATCCAAGGGATCTTCTTTCATAAATTAGAGTATACAGTTTCAGCATAATAAGACTTGGCTAATATGTCTGACCCTTACGTACTGATTCTACTTTATATACCGTATCTGAATATCAATCCATATAATACATGTATTCTATATGCCAGGCTTCAACATCCATTCATTGCGCAACGAGATTTCATATAAAAAAATGTTTATACTACAACTTTTATTATTCAGTTTTGCTACAATTATTCTCAAACGTTCTAAAACAAATTCTTAAAGAACTACATTAAACCATACTTAAATAAAGTAACACCGATCCAAATTTCACATTGAAAAGCCAAAAACACAGGAAAATGATTAACAATATCCTTAACGAAAGATTTACTCAAAAACCGCTTCCCTTTTCTGTATCACGGAGCAGTCTCTTAACACAATTAACGCAATTAGTTCCCAAGTAACAACCGTAAATCACCGCTTATCACGAGATCGGATTCCCCGAACTTATTCGTTTCAGCTCCCAGCGTTTTCTTATCTGGCGGTGAATTTCTCGCGCGGTTCACAAACCGGACCTTTGTGCTTCGGTTTACGTATCTGCCGGCCGTGCGCGAGAATTCTCCGAGTTCCTGTATCAGGAAGACCCGTTGAAAGCGGAGGAAAACCGAGGAAAGCTGTACCGGGAAGGAAGAACGATAAAAAAAGAAAGAAGGGAACACCAGCACAGATACGGGCAGGGCGGTAAAACTCTCGAGCAAAACTTTCGATTAAACGCCGGGGGAAAGAAAATTCCGGCGGAAAAAGCTTCGATCGGCGCCGGGTAATCGGACGATCGGGTAATTAAGACAAAGAACGGAATATCGTCGAGGTGACGTTTACTAAGCATCGCGTCAGGACGCTATTAACCTATTTTTTCCAGACGGTGTCTCGCGTAAACGCGACACCGTCGAGAAATGACTTCCTCTGCAATTTGCTAAGGTATTCCTTTTCGATGGGGTTGGTTCATCGTTGAAATTAATGGTACCGCGAAAACAAAGCACTCGTCAGGTTTATTCGTTAGCGTTGTTAGCGTTGTTACCATTGTTACCATTGTTACCATTGTTACCGTTGTTCTCGCGAACGGAAGAACTAAGGGAATTTAAAATGAACGAAATTAATTTTTTCTATCACTTAATATAAAAATACTAGTTTCAAAGTTATCAACAGTTATCATAGTATAAAAATATACTATATATTTCATTTGCCAAAGCTTGATATCCTGTTCAAAGTATTATTTTAACCGAATTGTGTCGGTGATTTTAAATGTTTTAAGCGGAGCAGATGATGCTGTATATTCTTCTAGATGATGTAAAAGCCCGTGTCAAAAGAATGGCGAAGACGTACCGCGGGAAATGAAATAACGTCTTGACGCTGTCACTGAAATGAAAATTCAAGCGGATACGCTACAGTAGAATGCGTTTATTTATATTTTTCGTTTATTTAATCTAAGAATTTATTTTTCATACAGAAACCGTGAAACCTTTTTCCGTGGGAATTTCGCGGGTTTATTCATGTTTCACTGACGCTTAGAATTTCCGTTTTAAGGAAAAAGAACTGAAACTGTTTGAGCTCTCGAACACAGTCGCTTAAAAAAGTAAAATCTTCTCATAGCATTCAGTAAACCGACCGTTCTGTTCGTTTGACAGAAAAAAAGAGCCAACAGGTTTCTTAATTAGTGCGAGCCTGGTCGTCGCGTGTACCAGAATGAAAGAGGAAAATAGGCAATTACAAAAAACAGCTGCACTTCGAAATTTAACTGTCGAATTTTCCTAATTTCCTCACGGGCCTTGTTAAAATTTCAAATACTAGAGAAACCGTGTGCACAAAGTTTATTGTTAGTTGATCGTTTAAATATCATAGACAAAGTATTAGAAAAATCGTTAAAAATATATCGTTTCGTGAAACGTGCATTTAAAATTAATTTCAAAAATATCTTTTTCACAAAGACAGTCGATGTGTCTTCAACTAGATAAGT